GCCGGCTTGTGCGCTCTCTCTGCTCACACCGAGTTATAGCAAGATATGCCGTTTCCTCGTTTTCTGGTGTGTGTGCGGTTCCCAAAAGTGTTTTTTTTGTTTCTGCGTTTCTCGCTATCAGCTTTTGTGCCATTGGAAGATTAGTTTTAAGTACGGTTCAAACGTGCTCATCTTTTTCGTACAGTAGAGGGTAGTATTTAAGGCACCGATTCTTTGGTGGGGTGGTGTTATCTGGATATTAGCAGCTGCTGCTAGGAGATAGTATATGTCACTGTCGGGTTGGGGAGTATATCGCTGGCGCAATATGCCCATTGGACTGTTATGGATTCTCTCTGCGCATAGTACTACTGTGCATTGGTTCATCTTGATAACTATGTATGTCTATCTAGCGTTATTTCGCCGGCTGGCTGTGCGTGGTGTTCTGTTGTTCTGGGGCTCCCCGGCCGCTGCTCGCTAGTAGACTAGCTCTTCCTAGTGTTGTATCAAACTTATTAACTGCAATGTTAGCTACTATTGTTAAACATGTTTTTACTTACCTCTAAGTTAAACCCGCTGTGGGAAGACCTGTATGAGAGATTCAAAACCTGGAAAACATATTCATATTATTATGGGTACCATTGCAGATGTGCATGAATAAAAAATGAGCATTAAATCATTATGATCTTATATTATATCTTTAGTATGTGCATTACTCGCACTCGGAAATGAGCGATTATACGTTCATCATTGCGGTATGCTTTTTAAAATGGTAACATTATGATCAATAAAACCCAGTTCTGTACTTGTGTGATGCTATTATCGTCGTTATCGTCGTGTCTGTTATAATAAGTCGTTAATTACACAACTATAATAGTTGGGTGATTAACGACTTAATGGGAATTGAGTGCGTGTGTGTGTGTGTGTGTGTGTGTGTGTGTGTGTGTGTGTGTGTGTGTGTGTGTGCGTGCGTGTTGTGCTCTCCTCTTCTCGTCTCTCTTCTCGTGTGTAATGCTGTGGCGGTGTAGCGTGGGCGTGTGTGTGTGTGTGTGTGTGTGTGTGTGTGTGTGTGTGTGCTGTGTGTGTCACACACACACACACACACGTACACGCACGCGCACGCGCACACGCACACGCACACGCATACACACACGCACACGCACCCCCCCCCCACCCACACACACACTCACTCAGATGACTGTTTTTAACTACAAGCTTCTAAATATTTGTTGTCTTGCTCGCATCGAATAAAAATGTTTACATTACGCCCACAAATAATATTGATATTACATTATTAAGTTAGGTGGCGTATACTCACGACCACAGATTGCTTTAACACGAGCTTAGATCAGATCCCCTAATTAATTACTTGTTTTAAGTTAATAGCCATTGTACTAATTAGCATATTCATTATAATTTCAATTAAGGTATATTTTTTAAATATCTCTTTTGTAATGATTATGATTACTCTAATTTAGTATGTGCAAATGTATCTTTTAACCAAATGCTGAAGCAAGGAGGCAAAAGTAGAGGCGTCTTGTTTAGCGTACTGCTGGCGATATATGTATATATATGTGTGTGTATATTTATATATATTTATATATATGTTGGTCTATAATGCTAGAATTTGATGATGCCAAGTTGCATTAGATGGTACTTCCTACGAGCCTATTGTCCTTCAATATAGTTCGTGTTCATTTCGTCTCAGTTGATATTCCAATAGAGATAGCTGTCGTTGCAGGTATAATTATTTTTCAAAGAATACATTTGCTATTATGATGTACATAGAATTAAGGTAGTGCTAATGCGTGCTAAAATTGTGGTTGCACGTTTCAGGCATTTGCTATATTTTCCGGTCTGGGCATTCATAATACACAAATGTACGAAATGGCAGAACAACTGATGGCAAAGCAGAAGGTGGCCTTGGAGGTATTATCCTACCATGCGACTGCCCAAGATCACGAGGTTGAAAGACTATCGGTACGCTTTTATAGTCATTATCGACTAGAAATTAGTTATCGATCATGTCGATAAGCGCATTTCCTTTCCATGAAGCAAACACGTTATACTCGCGGCACACGCATCTGTCAGATGGTTACACGAATTGAAGCGCCTTTAAACATGTCGTAAACAAGTCGTAAACAAGTCGTAAACATGTACAGCACTTTTACCCCCAAACGTGACGCAATGTCAGCAATTAGGGTAAGGACTGCTTAGATGGTTTAGTGTCGCCGACAAAGACTGTAGGTAATTAGACCACATCGATGGCCCCATTCTTACTTTTTAAATAAATTTTAAGCTCGAATTTGCAATTTCAACAGGCTTTTGAAGGGTGTCAACAAACGGGAGACGACTATTTCGATATGGTTTGGCTAACACAGCTAAACTGAGCGATATTATGTTAACTCGCCATAGGCTTCCATCATTGCTTTTCAGTCGGTTTTCTAAACCCATTGCCATTTATGCGTTGTAAGGGGGCGATTTCCCCTATTTATAAAGCAAAAGAGTTACGCGATGGTACTATGAGTTTCAGGCGCGTCCTCCGCAGGGTGATTTCAAACTAGTCTTGAGCAGGTTGGATTCCTGATATAGGTTGAATAAGGGACGTGCCGCTGTCACGTGCGTGACTGCGACGAGTAAAGTAAATGGTTGCCCCCACCCGAAATGATTAGAGCACGGCTAATGCGGATTTACCGGTTGTGTAGGGGACACTAATTCGCATCTCATCAAAAAATCAATGCGCAGCGGCCACGACTCGAGTGTGAAAACAGGAGTGAAATGTGTGTTTGTTTGATAGTAGTTAGAACATAGTGTGTAGAACGCATCCAAATGTATTCACTCTATTTTGTGTGTAAAGATAGACCCCCAATTACTTTCGTGAAATATTGTATATCATATCAAATATAAGTCATTCGATATGCTGTGCATCCTACATGTTTGATGATATTTGCCGAACATTATACGACGTATGAACAGCATATAGTGACGATATCATGTCCTGTGTCTCGCCATAAACTCCGCACCAGTGTAAATAATAGATTAAAAATTATCGTAATCGTTTATGTTGTCTCTAGAAGTCCACCGTTCCTCTGGCCGAGGAATTTAAGCTCTACGAATTCGAATTCAGCGACTTAGATCTGACAGATGATTTGACCTGCCTGGCAACTATCCGGATGTTCATTGAGTTCGACCTACTAGTTAAATTTAGTATCCCATATGAGGTAGGTGGCATATAAGAATTTGTACTAGATTATGCTGCATAATAGATGTAACAAGATATGCATGCTGTAAGACGATGATTTGCCAATTACTCATTTGCCGATGACATGATTTGATAATTACTGTCACTGTCTATGGATTTCCGAATAGACGAGTTAAGGTGATGCAAATTGTATATTCGTCCTCCGTAATGGAAGACTACCATGACATCTTAATGTGACTTTAGGTAGGCTAGTACGTTTGCAGGCCCGGCATGTGGTGGCCATTGCCGGTCTCTGTTCGTAACGATCGGCAGCTACAGGCAAGACAGATCATTGCTGTGGCAAAATAAAAGTGTAGCGCAGTTGACAAAGAAGTTTGACACTTGTCATTCAGTTACACAACACACACGCGCGCGCACGCACAAGCACACACACACACACACGCGCGCACACACACACACACACACACACACACACACACACACACACACACACACACCACTCGCCGCGCTGCGCACACCACACACGCCGCCGCGCGCGCACACACACACACACACACACACACACACACACACACACACACACACACACACACACACACACACACACACACACACACACACACTAATTCCCCGCGCTATTGTCGCTCGGTTGCGGTAATCACCGGCCAAGCCAGACTAGTGTCTTTAAACGCTAGTAGAGTATATGTATACGGTTGAATAGCGCGTGAGGCGATTACCAAGGGATTTCGCTAGGGAAAGCAATCCCAATATGATGTGGACCAGTATAGACCAGATTGCACATCGGTCTGATGATCCGCGTATGCATTTTAATCAATGTCTTACAATGTCCGTGTTCTGTTATTACTAAGATTTCCGTACATATGCGGATGTGTACGTCTGCGCATAGGTTAATACCTACGCGTAATACCCTACGCGTATATTCGGGGTAATAACCTACGCGTGCGTGCGTGGCGCGCGCGTGTTTGAGTGTTCGTAAGGGTGTATATTTGTATGTAGCGAAGTAGTGTGTAGCAAAGTGAGTGTAAATTATATACTAACTTACAGTGAATGTTTTAATATTTAAATGTGAACAGCTCATTGCAGAGCACACTTATGGGAAAATGTTCTCCGGAAATCATTAAAATTATCAACAATCTCCGAAGCTCAAAACTAACAAAATGCAGGACGAATTACCGAGAAATACAATTCAATAAATCATTCAATTTCCAACACAGACGGCATGCTTAAACTCACGACATGACTCGTTGACATGCCAAAACTAATGAGGACATGTGCCATATAAACTGCTGATACGGCACTAGATAGCTATGCAAGTATTTTATGTATGTTTGAACTGTAATGATGAAAAGATTCGTACATATGTGTGTATACTCTTGTGAGTGAGGCTCGTGATCGTATAGCGTCTGCCCAGGTTCTGCTATGGCGCGGGTACCATTGTGAGGTACCCTGAGGTTTAGCACAAATAATAGACAGACACGAAAGTATAACGTACAAACACATGTCTATTTAATTGTTACACAAACTTACAGAGACAAGTTATTAGTTACATACGTAATGCAATATCTCAAAAGAGTTTACACACGCAAATACAAGCACCAGTCTTATACGTTTAAGACGTATACTGTAACACGAATACGGTAAGATCTAAACTACGAAACATATACACATACGAGAACGGTCATGCGCTGACCAAGCGCTTGACACTACATACTCACAGATCAACTGGGTGGTTCTATTTTCTCTATCCCAAAACCCTCTGTATTTATTCTCTTTTTCTATATCAATTAGCCTCCTATGTGACGTGCGTATGGCTGTAGCCACGCCCGTTGACCGTACCGGCCACCGAGCACTCTCGCTATTTTCCACAGAGAGGGAGATTGATGTTTTGTCTTACCGGGCAGCCTACGTGCCTGAGCGTACCCGTACTGCCGAGTGATGGCTTTCTTACGATGTCAATCTGTGTGCCAGTCTACCTTGCATTTTGCTAATCTGCATTCTTAAGTAGGCCGTTTGCTTTCCTTGCTGCCGTCACTAGGACGCGCGTGGTTTACATTCTTAACTAGAGCACTCGGAGAGCACAGACCTCCGCCAAGGCAGCTGAATTTTCTCAATGTGAATTTTTTTATTAATTAATTAATTAATTAAGTGGAAAAATTAATTAATGAATTAATGAATTAAATAATTAATTGAATCCGGATCACCACCAAAATCTCATCAATTATAAGTTAGCCCATTTCTGACGTGTCCTGAAAATGTTATGACAATCCGTCCATAACTTTTTCAGTTAGACTTAACCTGTATGATACAGGCGGTTCCGGCGCGGCGGCGGCGGCGGTGGCGGGCCAATCAGCCAATCAGCGAGCGTCCACAAACCCACAAACTCACAAACCAATACTCAAACACACGCCAGTGAAAACATAACCTTCGCCAAGCCCCTGGCGGAAGTAATTATTTATTTATAACGAATTCCGCTTCACTACAGAACTACACCCGATAAAAATTTTAGTACCACGTTCACCTCAACTAACTAACTAGACGACAGAAACCAGTAAATAGTTATTCTAAGAATAATTATCCATGTGTATTAACCAATGTTCGTTATATATACGAGTTTTATCGCACGCTGAGCTCTGTCGGTACTACAACTCAACTAAACATGACAACTGACTCGGACCAATCCGCATCTATTCATGTCACGCATGTATAGTATGTCAGACGACGCTGTCAGTTCAGATTAGCTGACTGAGCTTGCTATACATTATATATGGGGATGCGTGTTCTATAGCGTCGAATGTCAGACATAGACGGCTTTCTCTGCGTGGCCGTGTGAATAAGCATTCGTTTTCAGAGAAATATTTTTAAATCACAAGTTCGAATTCTCCGTCCGCTGCTGAGATTGTACTTTCCCTCAGCATCCTCAGTAGGCTCTTATCGATTGTGTTAGCACATTTTTTGGCATAATTTAGGAAAACGAACACATTTTTTGCACTTTTTACAGATGTAACACTGCTAGCATACTCGGCATATTTATATTATTTTCATTACCAGAGCCATGACTTGTTTTATTTCTAATATTGATTTTTTTAAGCTTAATTTGTTCAGCCTATCTTCATTCCGCTAGTAGTCCAGAGGTCCTTGTCCAGGCTAGGTAGGGGGAGCCGGTTAGGGGCTTAGGGCGCACCGGAAGTACACGTCATGTGCTACCACAGTACGTCGCTGCTGCACAAGATGTGGCCATTCCTTGTGAGAAGAAAAAAGTGGAATGGTGGAAGCTCCACGCGGAGGAACTTCGCAGTTAAGAAAGTGCTGCTGGTCCAACCATCTTCTACTGCTGAACATAGAGTTTTCTCTATATTTACGGCTTCGTTCAATGACCAACAAGATAATGCACTGGCAGATTACTTACAAGCAAGTGTAATGCGCAGCTGCAATACAACAAGCGCTAGGAAGAGATTAGGAGAACGAAATCAAATGCGAATATAGTGCATTTTGAGGACACTGACTGCATGAGTCATCAATATAGTTTTGTGTTGCATTTAGAGCAGTCCCGACCAGTTCAGGAGAAAGAAGAGATCATTTCAAAGCTAGAAACTTGCTTTCATTAACAATAATTCATTTGATTTAGACTTTTCTTGTGTTTCTTGTGAATAACATAATCTTTGACAATGCAGCATAATTTTTAAAAACTAGCATAATTTGGACAAAAAACGAGCACTGCTAGTAGCATAATGTGCTATTTTTACTAGCACAATCGATAATAGCCTAATCCTCAGTCGCTCATCGTTTCTTCGAATGCTTTCTGTATAATCTATCGCATTTAACACCTAATTCCAGCATGGGCAATGCGTGCTTGCTTATTATATACAGAAGGCCGGATGCAGTGCCGAGCCAATTATCGTCTTTACTGCGCAATTAGGTGACCGAATTCCATGCGAGAATTTTACTACTTAGGTCTCAATAATATCTGTTAGCCATGCAACACGCTCGATTTACCCGTATATCTGGCCTCATGCCTCATTTATTATCACAATTAGTCCAGCATAACGAATCTGTCAATTATCAATACTGTGTTAGCTGTATCCATGCTTATAGTTATTTGCACGCCTTAGGTTAACTATATTCGCTCACCGAGTAAGAAAAATAATGTGTTGATAAACGTTCCTTCGCTAATGGTCGTCGCCACAAATTTTTTCCGCAGGTTATGTGCCGTTGGGTGCTCAGCGTAAAAAAGAACTACCGTCCTGTGACGTACCACAACTGGAGACATGCGTTCAATGTAACGCAGACAATGTTCACCATGATGAAAGTGAGTGATAGCAATCACGCAGTAAGATCAATTAAATATATATATATATATATACATATATATAATATATATATGATTATATATATACATATATATAAATATATATAATATATATATATATATATACATATATAATAATATATATATATATAGTATATTAGAAAAGAGAGAGAGAGTATATATATATATATATATATATATATATATATAGAAAGAGAGAGATAGAGAAAGAAAGAAAGAAAGAATAGATAGATAGATAGATAGATAGATAGATAGATAGATAGATAGATAGATAGATAGATAGATAGATAGATAGATAGATAGATAGATAGATAGATAGATAGATAGATAGATAGATAGATAGATAGATAGATAGATAGATAGATAGATAGATAAGCAACAGTTATCTACATTTGGGTATTTTGCAAAAACAGCACAGCTTTGCCTACTGAGATTCAATTCCTCTCGTGTAAATGTCACTGTTGCTGATTCAAACAAGAAAGCTTGAGCACAGATGATCCGCAAATTATTAAATCACAGTATAAGTTCCGGATGATAAACGAAGGATTATGTAAGTATTGTACTGTGATTTTAAATGTTGAACTCCGTGCAGGATGGTGAACTCCGTGCAGGATCTTGTAGCAGCGTGCGTAGCGAATGCAGATTGTAGCAAATAGCAGATTGTAGCAAATGGCAGATTGTAGCAACGTAGAGTAGCAGCGTAGTCTTGTAACCACAAGTAGAGCTAGATGACATAGTCGCAGATTCGTTGTTGAACTAGGACTTTATTAGTAAACTCGAACACATACAAAAGTTATACATACGGCAACGTAGGTGACCGTGCCTATAGGTCCCGTCATCTCCGTTTTCGTCTATCTCTCTACTTCCTCGTATCTCCTCTGGATAATAACTTAATTATGATAATAACTTAATTATGATCTTTCGTCTGTGTCTATTTATACGTTTACGAAAACCGCCCGGCGACATTTCTACCGGTTTACGTCATTACCGGCTGGATTTCGCTCGTAGGTGTGGCGCGTCGCGTCACCCATCCCCGGCGCAAAGCGATGCGGGAGGCGCGCCCGTCCATTGTCGTCGCGCGTTGTATGCGTAGCGTCTTAGCGTCACACCTAGCGCCACCGTTTGCTGAATATAAGTGCTTTACTGCAGGTTGGTGCAATGCAGCGACACTTCAACGATCTGGAACTGCTTGGTTTACTAGTTGCGTGTTTGTGCCATGACCTTGATCACCGAGGAACGAATAACGCCTTTCAGACGAAGTAGGTATTCTTACATGGCTCAACGTGACACCACGATATTAATTAAAATGGGAAATCTCGTATGAAAACGAAGTTAAACTACACCGAATGTAGTCATCTTATAAAACATAGCCGCGTGTGCCCACATTTGAATAGGATTATATTGTAATAATTCTAGAGTTTTTATTGTATGCAATCAAAATTTGTTTAGGTAACTCGCCTAGAGAATTTTTTACATTGAAAGAGCTGCCGTGAACCATGACCGTTACCACAATCCTATATCTCACCAATTCATAAGTACTGAAATTGCCCATATTTGATAAACTCAAATGTAGTACAAACACCAGAAGATGCCACCCTTGTGTATATATCATCCGTATAGAAAGGCTTCTATATATCATTGTTTCACAATATTAAGATTTTAAATAATCAAGTCATAAATAATACGATTAATTTATTTTTGGTGCATCCAGTAACAAACTACTGTGCGTGCGCTTGCGTGGGTTTGGTGCTGGCGGACGCGCATCTGTGTGTGTACAGTCTATAACAGCTACTATAATTATGCATGTGACAGGTATTGACATATTGAACAAAATGAGCCTAGTAATCCAATATTGCACTACGAGAAGCGCGAGTACGTGCTAATGTGAGATCTTTTTGCTACGAAACGCTATGATTACGGGTTACCACAGTTACGAGTAGGCCTATATATAAGAATCAGAGCGATGACTAACAGTTCTTGTGTGGAACATTTCAACCACGTGCTGACAAAACATTGCTATAAATAGGAGCACTTTTAACGGATTTGACGAATAGAGACATCACTATAACAATAAGTGGCTTCATGATAATCGGGCGTTTAGCTGCATGAGCTGAAAGATATGAAAACGCACTATCAAAACGCAATTACCCAAACTGTCAATTCCTAGCTCTCTGAGTCATTTCATAGGTTCAATACAACCTCTTTTCTGGGTCCTTATTTGTTATGATTTTAATGTCAAGTGTATTTCTAGCTCTCTTCTGTTCTAAAATGAAAAATGAACTCATATAGCCTGTTCTTGTACTACAGTAGATATATAGCATTCGGGCACCAGTTATGTCGCTGTAACTGATTGTGCGAATCCTACAGTGGTCTTTGGGATAAATATCAAGAGTAGATAATAGGAGATCTCTTATTATCTACTCTTGATAAATATGGATAATGAAAGCATCGTATTTTGTGTGGGATATCATGTTGCGAACATGCACTCTCCGCTGCAGCGGAGCCGAAATTACGTGGCGCAATCAGCATGAAATAGTACTCCCGTTAACGTTGCCCGTTACCCATGCCGTTGAATGAGAGACCAAATTAATGTTCCGTGATGCTAACGCTGTGTTGTGCTCATACATATACGTTACTGCGGAGCTTATTAAAATTACCATATCGCACAGTTAAGATATATATATATATATATATATATATATATATATATATATATATAATAGATACACAGTATAACAACTAAACGTAATAAACGTTAACGTAAACGTAACTAACGTAAACGTAACGTTAACTTACGTAATTAAGTTAA